GACACTGGTCTGTTCTCAAAAATGTGATTTATGAAAAACTGTCTAATTTCATTCTTTTTTTTAATCCTCTTGGGATGACACTATTTACAGTACATTAAAATTTTTAATATGGTTCATTTATTTTTTTTTTCAGCAAAGTCTCATGATGTAGCCTGACTGGCCTGGAACTCACTCTGTAGACCAGGCTGGCCTTAAATTCACTGAGATCCCCCTGCCTCTGCCTCCTGAGTGCTGGGATTAAGGGTATACTGTTTTTGTTTGTTTTTCTTCTTTGCTGCTTCAGCTTTTGGTGTAATCTCAGAAATCATTTCCTAATTCCAAGTCTAAGAGTTTCACAGTTTTAACTTGGACACTAACTCTTATGTTCAGGATCTAGTTTGAATTCATTTTGTATACGGTGTGACTTAGGGACCCAACTTCACTCTTCTGCAAGTGGGCACAGGTTTACTTTAATAGAGATAACTAAGTCAGTGTTCTCGGGAGGTGCTCAAAGATGGTTCTTCCTCTGCTGCAGAAAAGACACGACTCTGGCTGACCGACATGAGAGAGCAAGCAGAGAATGCTGGGGGCTGCTGACAGGCACGTTCCCTTCATACTTCAGACAAATGCAACACAGCTGAGCTTGGGGAGGAATAAAGAACCAGGCTCACCACATGGTTCAGGCCAGAACTCCCAACATGGCCTTCTGCCCATCTCAGACACCTAGTGGGCAGGAGTCAGGCATGGCTGGCAAACACAGGAAGGGTCCAGCATCTGCAGAGTGGGCATGAGACCTGGGTTCAGACCCCAAAGTGCACACGTACACACACACACACACACACACACACACACACACACACACACTCCAAAAAGACAGTTTTTTTTAAAGACGGTTTTTAAAATCTCTTCCTAGTTGTTGTTGTTGTAACACAGGCTAAAGATAAACCAAAAAAATTAAGACACACGCCTGCGTATGACGAGAAAGCAAAACAGAACAAAAGCAGGGGAAGGTGCTGGGGTGCCAGCACAGCTCAGAGGCCTGTATCCGGGCAGAGGGTGGCCCGAGAAAACCCATGGCCATCCCTTCCCTGAAGGATCAGATGCCAGGCCCACCCTTAGCTCAGCAGGCAGCAGCTATGGACCTGAGAACACAAATGCAGCTGGGATCCACAATATGCAATCCCAGGCCTGAGAGACTGAGCCCAGGACACAACGATGGGGGAGGAGGACAACGGGCTGCTGTGTGCAGACCTGCAGCCCGGGCCGGGTCCTGTAACCCCTACCCAGTCCACAGCACCCATGACCTCGTCCAGGCCCTGGCAGTGAAGGCTACACAGAGTGACCCCTTTAGTGGCTCGCAGCAGAGCTCATCACTTGTGGGTCCCCTCAGCTCTTGCATGGAAGGCAGCTGGGTTCTCTCTCAGCCAAGCACCTGACAGTCTTGTCACCCATAGATCTAAAGAGCTAGAAAAATGGGGTCCCTCAACCTCACAATCTACGTGCTCATCTAGTTTTGCCCAATATCTTTCATCAGCATGTATAGGACTTATGACTGACAGTTCAACTCCAGCCTGGAGACATACCCAAGGCAATAGCCCTTTCCTACATAGTAATTTACACAAATGGACTTGTTGGGATTATCAATAAAAATGATAAAGAGCTGAGCTAAGTGTCAACCACTGATTGATGGAGTGAACAACAGTGTCCTAGCCTGAGGAAGTCTATAGAGACCATAAAAATAACTAGAAGCAATGGCAGTCATTATTGGAGCATTAGCTGTCAATCAGATAGCCAGTATAGCTTTGCACTATCTCATTTGAATCATCTTTATAATACACATAGTTTGTTTTACAAACAAGAAAATGGAGGGGGAGACTTTGAAAGGGTTAAGCACCAACAGAAAGGCTACCACCTACTAGATAAAGGGAATCTCTGTGAGCCTCAGTTCTCGAATCTGTAGAATGGGGCAATAACACAACACCCAATGAAAATTCATTGTTTAATTAATTATCACAACTGGAATTACTGGGGGTTGTCCCTATTGCACAACAAGAAATGTCATTTTCTCCTGCTATAACCCACAGGTTCCAGGCATACCAGCTATCCCCGTGCCCCAAACATTCCTTTGTCTGTTTCATGCACTGGTATCTTTTTTTCATAAAGAGTTATTTTAATTTTGTGTGTGTTCATACATGCATGAGTGCAGGTGCCTCTGCCATCAAGAAGGGGGTGTTGGGGCCCTGTGTGCTGTGAAAACAAGCTCAAGACCACTACAGGAGCAGTGTGAGCTGAGACATCTCTCTGACCCTGAACAGCAGAATTCTCTCTCCAGCTTTTTAAGGTGAGGATCTGGAACTGCCTGAATGCCACACTGGGATCCTTGCCTGAAATCATTTTAATACTTTAAACCTACATAAGAAAGATCCCACCAATCTCTCTTCTGCCACTTCTCAGAATGACTTAGGAGCCAGGCAGCTCTTTCTACCTTCTCCTTCCTTACCTGCCATTTACATGCATGCTGCCAGCAAAATGGAAACAAACGCACAGGTTTATTCTATTACTATTCCTGCCAATACTGGTGGAGCTTGCCTTTGCCAGTAATTCCTGGCAGGAACCTGTCCTACCACAGACAGGTGCCCCCCCCAAAAAACATTAAATTTCACAGCTTTCAACTTGGAAGACTATAAAATGGGGCAATTTAGATGCTGGAACATTCTGAAAACTTGGGAGATTTGGATGTTTGCCTGCGGGATGGAATCTGAGCAGTTCAAGCACGCTGGGCTCTCAAAGGCCCAGGAGAGCCAAGAGGAAGCGGAGCTCTTCACCACACTGCCCACGGCGGCCCATGGTGAGTGCTCCATAGACGGCAATCCTTCACTTCCAGAAGAAAAACCAGCTGTTGGTTCAGGCAGACTGAATGTTCACTTAAGAAGGTGGGGCCCACCTGTAATCCCAGGAGGCGGAGCAGAAGTTAAAGGCCACCCTCAACTGCGAAGCAAGTTCGAGGCCAGCTGGTGTCACAGGAGACCTTGTCTCAAAACAATATATATATTTTAGAAGGTCAGGACCTGGGGTTTAGTTTAGCAGGCAGGAAGCCCTGGGCTCTATTCCCAGGGGCAAAAGGAAAAAGTTCACCAATAGATAAAAGCTGCTATATCATTTAATAAACCAGTCAAGTTTCAGCATTTACAGATAACTACTCCCAGAATCTACTCAGTGTGACGGTGACATTGATTTTATGTGGGCAGTGGAGTGATTGCAATGCTGGGGGCCAAAGACATGAGTCCTGCATCAGTCAGTTAGCCAGGCCCAGAGGACTTTGGCCCTTTTTCTTTCTGGCAGTTTGGAGGAGGAAACTGTGCTAATGAGATGCTCTCTCCCACTCAATACTCCCAGGCATCTGCATGTGGTGCGCAACCAGACCCCTCTGCCCCTGCTGTCATGGGGGCGGGGTACTGCCAGGTAAACCGAGAGGCAGACAAGGCAGAGCTGAGCCCATTTCCTTTCTCTCCAGCTGCAATTACAGCTGTGCTGTGATGGACGAGGTTTAGGAGAACAAGGCCTCCAGAACCCCTCAAGGCATTACATTTCCATGAAACCTTATCTGTGCTGGGCTTCAGAGAATAAGCGCACTGCTGTGCATTTGGGTTCCTTAACTTAAACACTGGGAAACCGTATTTATTTAAGGGAGTCATTTTCAAACGTCTCTTTTTGTGGTTCTGGGAGTGAACCCAGGGCCTTGCTTGTGTGAATTAAGCACTCTGCCACTGGCTATGCTTTCAAACAAACAAACAAAATTACATTTTAATTTATGTACTTGTGTATGTGTGTGTGGTTCTATATACGTGTGTTCAATCATAGAACAACTCAGCAGAATTGGTTCTCTCTTCCCACCAGGTGGTTCTCAGATCATCAAGCTCTGTGGTAGATGCCCTTACCAACTGAGCCATCTGCTGACCACAAACACCTTTTTTAAAAGCATCTTTTTAAAAGCATCATTTGGACAATATATGAGGCCACTGGCAGTGGGTCCAAGATCTAACTCTAATGCACAAATTGACTTAGTGGAACCCATTCTATAAGGAGAGATACCTTGCTTTGCCTAGACACAGGGGTGTGGGGGGTGGGGAGGTGCCTTGGTCCTGCCTCAATAAGATGATGGGACAGACTTAGTAGACTTTCTAGGGGAGGCCTTATCCTCTCTGAGGGGCAGATGGGAGGTGTGTGGGAGAGAGGAGGGGGGAGCGGGAGGAGAGGAGGGAGGGGGAACTGGGATTGGAATATAAAAAGTAAATTAATAAAAAAGAGCATCATTTCTGAACTGAGCCGAGTGCAGGCTGGGGAAGCACTCTATTGCTCCCGGCAAAGGGAAGCTTGCACGGAAGCTTACTGTGTTGAACAGCTAGGGTGAGGCACAGTGACTCTGTCCTCTCTGCTACCCTCTTGACTTTACTGGGAGAGGGGGGGAAGGGGAGGAGGGGGGAAAAGCTTTGCCAGAGTGAGGAACACATCTGGTTGAAAGGAAAAGTAACAGAAATAAATCAGTGGGGGACAAAGAAGTCTTTAAGTTCAGGGAGAAGTGGACTGAGGTCCTGCCACACCGTCACTGACACAGGGACGTGTAGCCTTAGAGTGTCTGCGGCAGCGGCTAAGTCAGGGATGGCGTGAGAAGCAGCAGACTGTACACAAGCTTCATGCAGGCAGACGGCACACCGCTGGCATGAAGAGACTCTCCTTACTCTTAGGGAACATAAACTGGGATGGTGGCCTACAGGGGATATGATGGTGCAACTCAGTTCCAAATAACCGGGAGGGGTGGGGGTGGGGCAGTACGGTCACTACCAGCGGACAGTGATTCTCAAACCGAGACCCCTGGAGGGCACCAGTCATCCACAAACTGGCTGGAAATATAAGTGCTTGGACCACACCCCAAATGTACTAACAGCTGTGTAGGGTGGGGCTGGTACTGTAAATTCTCTGGAAGTCTCTCAGGGGCAGGTCTGGGCACACACCGTACAAACCTGAGTAGGAGAGTCCAGCAATCTCTATGAAGAGGTCTTCCTCGGAGAAGCTTTCCGGGAGCATGAGGCAAGCGGTGGTCACCGCACTCTTCAGGTTCTTATCCAGGGCTGATCTAAGCACCACATTCTCATTCATCGACACAATCTTCACCTGGAAAAGGCAGACCATTAAGAGGCAGCACTGCAGAGGCAGGTGTTGCTCATACACTGACTGTGTCGTCATCCCCCTCCACCAGCCATCGAAAGTTAAGAACATAAGCCCAGTGACATGAAACCATCATGACTCTTAACAAGAAATCCCAGAGTCTCCTGTGGAATGACAAAGTCAGAGAAATTGTGACAAAGCAAAGGATCATGATTTCAAGGAGAATAAGTTAATATTCTTATTAAAAGTTATTTTATGTGAGTGTTTTGCCAGCATGTAGGTATGTGCACCATGTACATGCAGTGCCTGCAGAGGCCAGAAGAGGGCGTCAGACTCCCTGGAGCTGGAGTTGCAGGTGGTTGTGAGGCCTCAAGCAGTTGCTGGGAACGGAACTCAGATTCTGGCAAGGAGCAGCAGTGCTCTTAGTGTGACACTGAGCCACCTCTCCAGCTCCTGACATTCTTAAATGAGGAAACTCCCGTAGGCTTTGGAAAAGAAAAAAAAAAGTTTTGGGAGGAATTGCACTTTTCTTTTTTTTTTAAGTTTTATTTATTATTTATTATATATACAGTGTTCTGTCTGCATGCCCCAAGAGGACACGAGATCTCATGGTTGTGAGCCACCATGTGGTTGCTGGGAATTGAACTCAGGACCTCTGGAAGAGCGGCCAGTGATCTTAACCTCTGAGTCATCTCTCCAGCCCCTCATTTTCTTTTTTAAAGACAGGGTCCCACTAATCAACCTTGTCTGGTCTGGAACTTGCTATGTAGACCAGGCTGGCCTCAAATTCAGAGATTCTCCTGCCTCTGCCTTCTGAGTGCTGGATTAAAGGGGTGTACCACTATGCTCAGCTCTTTGATTTTGGATATAGTTTTGTTATGTAGCCCAGGCTAGCCTTGAACTTGTGGTAATACTCCACCCTCTCTCTGTCTTGTACGTGGTGAGATCACAGGTGTGTGCTACCTGAGGTAGGAATGCTTGTAACACTCAAGTCTCATATACAGCAGGTGAGACAAAGCCACCTGTCCAGCAACCTCTTCTACCGTCATAAAGCCTCTCAGTACCCGGTGAGTTCAGTATCACTGCATTCATTGAGTAAAAGTAAACAGTCTAGAACAGCCAAAGGCTGAGCGATGAAGCAACAGCCACAACGAGAGTGAAGCCAATGGGAGACAACCAAGCTCTAAGTGTTCGGCGTTTTCTTCATAGATGCAGTCAGGGAGGCACTTCTCATCTTGACAGACAGTTAAAACAAAACAAAAACGACCCCTTCTTCTTTCCTCCTCGTGCTAAGGATGGAGAAAATCCAGGGTCTTCCACACGCAAAGCACTCTGCCCTTCAGCCATGCTCCTCCACCCCACTTTAAGGTTCTAAAATGACTCCTGTGCTCATTTCCCAACTTTCCTTTAAACATTTTAATTTAGCGTGTGCATGCTCCGCCTGCATGGGCACAGGTGTGTGTGTGCGTGTGTGTGCGTGCATGTAGGCTCACATGCCACAGTGCACATGCAGATATCAGAAGACAACTTGTGGGAGTCCATTCTGTCCTTCCATCATGCAGGTTCCAGTAATCAAACTTGTCCCTTATCTACTGAGCCATCTCTCTGGCCTCTTCACTAGGTCTCTCAAACCTTGCATTCCATATGAAATCATGGACCCAGGAAGGTAACCTCATCTCACTAACAGGGAAGCTGAGGGGCGGAGTGGTTCTGCTGTCTCCAGAGGACACACCAGGTCTAGTTGGCTCCTGAGTTGTCCCATGATGCCTTTCGACATCCACATTCCCATTCTCCCCTCATCTACCAGATCCTTCTTAACAGTGCTATAACCTCTTTTGTGTACATTTCTGTGGCTTTTACAGAAACCCAGTGAAATCAGAAGCTATTTTGCGATGTGAATAACTAAAAGATGCAAAGAAATGAATAACCTTGGGCTTCTTTTCCTAGTTAACAAAATACCACTTGTTCTCTAAGAAGGCGCTTCTACTTGCATTGTCAGAGAGCAGTCTGCCTGCTATTTAAGATTGAGAGAGTGAAAATAAAAGCATCCTTACTCAAGGGGAAAATGTGTGGATCTGGTTCTCCAACGAAAGGTGAACTAGGACCTCGTCTCCGTAGCCCTGCTATTTGTTGTTCAGAGTGAAAAGCCAATGAAAGCTTGGGGCCTTGCCAGAGAGGCCTGGGAAAAGAAGAAAGTCCTCAGACTTGTGAATAGCTGTTTGTACCTACTGGGAATGCTCTGACCTGGACTGCACAGTCGGCATTAGCAATGCTCACTGCAGGGTGATGGGGTGATGCTTGAAGGGTCTTTCAAAGGGGAGATTTGTGAGTACCTTTCAAGCCAGGAAAAAAGTCACACGAAGGGCTCCAGTACAACACAGCGACAGGCAGAGACTCATTGAAGTTCAGAGTGAACTTGTAGTTTCCAAGAACCCAGACTGGAGCAGTCCTGTGACACTCAGAAACTCCCCATTTACACCCCAGGGCTGCTCTAAGAGGTCACTGCTTGGGTCCACAAGGCTGGCTGGACTTAGTTTACCTGATGGACTGGGGGCTCTGAGGACAACTGATGTGGGGTCTTATTTTTTTATTCCTTCAGCATGCAGAGGAGACTTGGCTCACTCTGAGTCACTAAATGCAAGGCTCAATCTTTGCGTTTCAAAGGAGAGACGTCCAAAGGCTGGCTCACAGTAATGCAGAGCCGCAACTGGGGAACCAGGGCTCCTAATGACTCAGTCAAGCCTCTCCTATACCATTGGGATTCAGAATGTACATCAATAAAGCTACACCATGGAGAAAAAGTGTGAACATACTAGAAACCACTCAACTTCAGGCTTTATACAGATGGATCATATGGCACATGAATTCTTTCTCAAGAAAGGTATTATTTTTAGTTTTTGTGTGTGTCTGGGTTTTTTTTTTCTTCTTCTTCTTCTTGTTTTTGTTTATCATGACAGGGTTTCTCTGTAGCTTTGGAGTCTGTCCTGGAACTCACTCTGTACACTAGGCTGACCTTGAACTCACAGAGATCTGCCTGAATCTGCCTCCCAAGTTCTGGGATTAAAGGCATGACCCATAACTGCCTAGCTCTATTTTTAGTTATTTTTATTTTTTGAGACAGCACCTCACTGTGTAACCCTGGCTGGTCTGAATGCTAGGTAGAGTAGGCTGGACTGGAATCAGAGATCTACCTGTCTCTGCCTCCTGAGAGTTGGAATTAAAAGCTTGTATCACCCTGCCTAGCTCCACTAAATATTTCAAATTCCATGATTCTTTACCAGAAAAACATCTTGTTGTAGGGCTTGGGATAGATATAGCTCGTACCTACATTAACATACTGAGATGGCAAGTGACTCAGAACTTAAAGCTATCCAGGAAATAAAGCTAGGCATCTTTTCAACCATGAAACAAGCTTGACAAGGAAGTATAAAGTAAAATTTTTATTTATTTATTTTTCTGTTTTTGAGATAGGGTCTCACGTATGTGTCCCTGGCTGTCCTGGAACTCATAGATATCCACCTGCACCTCCTGAGAGCTGGGTTTTTAAAAGCATGCACCACCTTGCCCAGTGAACAAAAGTATAGCTTATAGTCAACCCTTTCTAGAAATGTCCATCTTTTCAAATCTTTTATATTTCTTTTGAACACTTAGCTTGCTAGTGGATGAGAAATCTCTTTTCAGTTTGCAGGGCACAGACACTTTGGAAGCTTTACACAATATAACTGGATGCAATGCTTTTTTAAAACATAAAAGATGAGGAATCCACACATTTCATAATTCTTTCAAGACATTTGCTCATTTTCTTATAGAAGATGCTTACCAGCTTTGCTCAAGTGTCACAAGTATTTGCTGCCACCTACAGGTCAAAAGTTTATCTGTGACTCTTAATGGGCAGATTTATTCCTTACAGGAGTGGGAACCAAGGGAGGGTGGGGGTAAGGGGTGGGTGGGGACAGGGGTTGTTAATGGTGCTCACTAAATAATCTTCAATGATTTATTCAAAAGATTTATTTAATTTTAATGTTTATGAGTAAGTTTTGTGTCCATTTATGTACATGAATCACATGTGTGTAAGTGCCCAAAGAGGCCAAAAAAGAATGCCAGGCCTTTGAATCTATAGTTACTGACAGCTGTGGTCACACACTTAGCAGGAAGGGTTTAATCCCCAGCATAACAAACCAACACCCACGACATTTAGAATGTGTTCATTCTGTGATTCCACAGCAGTTTTGTTTTTTTGAGACAGGGTTTCTCTGTGTAGCCCTGGTTGTTCTGAACTTGCTCTGTAGAACAGGCTGGCCTTGAACTCAGAGATCTGCCTGCCTCTGCCTCCCAAGTTCTGAGATTAAAGGTGTGGGCCACCACCACCCAGTTAGCATTTTTGATTTTTTTTTTTTTTTGAGACAGGGTTTCTCTGTGGCTTTGGAATCTGTCCTGGAACTAGCTCTTGTAAACCAGAGCTGGTCTCAAACTCACAGAGATCCGCCTGCCTCTGCCTCCCGAGTGCTAGGATTAAAGGCGTGCACTACCACCCCTGCCACATTTTTTATTTTTAAAGGCTAGTTTATCTTTTTTTTAATTTATTTTTTAAAGATTTATTTATTTATTTACAGTGTTCTGTCTCCATGCCAGAAGAGGGCACTAGATGGTTGTACGCCAGTGCTCTTAGCCTCTGAGCCATCTCTCCAGCCCCTAAAGGCTAGTTTGAAAAAACTTTCCTTAAAGGGCTGAAGCAATGGCTCAGCAGTTGAGGACACTGGCCCAGGTTTGATTCCCAGAGTGCCTAGCTTAGGGCAGCTCATAACCGACTATCATCCCAGTTCCAGGGGATCTGATGCCCTCTTGGCTCCTAGGCACTGCATGAACATGGTGCAGAGACATTACAGGAGGGCAAAACACCCATTTACATAAAATAAAAACATCTTGAAAAGTATAGTACAGAGACTGTTATGCTTTGATTCAAGCTCTTTTTAGTTGAAAATAACAGACAGCCAAGAACACTGGGAGGGAAACAGCCTTTTTTGTGTCTACCAAATCAGACACTTTGGACTGCCCACCCACAAATGATTACCATGAAGTGAAGGACGCCCAGTCACTGGTGTGAGGCATGCAGTTAGAGGAGGAGACACCAAAGACCAGGTGTGTTGGGCTCTAAAAAGCTGTGTTCTTTTGTGCATACAACCGTTCTTCCAGTTTCTAGGCAGGGCAGGATTGCCACCCCCATTCTACAGATGGGTTAACTGAGATTTAGGGACAAAATCCAACTGTGCAAGCTCATCTAAACAGCTAACAGTGGCAGAAAGAGCAGGACCTAAGGGTTCTCATCTTCTAGTCACTTCTTGCCCCATCAAGCTACAGATTTTGCAAAAACAAAAACAACCCACAACCTTCCAATAAAAACAAACAAACAAGCCGGGTGGTGGTGGCCCACGCCTTTAATCCCAGCACTCGGGAGGCAGAGGCAGGCGGATCTCTGTGAGTTTGAGGCTGGGCTGGACTGATAGCCTCCAAAACAATACAGAGAAACCCTGTCTCGAAAAACCAAAAAAAAAAAAAAAAAAAAAAAAAGAAAGAAAAAAAAGAAAATGTGTATTTATCAACTTTCAACTCCAGCAATTTGCTTACTGTCGGGTTTTACTAGGGTTATAGGACCTAGGAACGATTTGTTCATTGTGATGGTTTAAAAGAAATGGCCCCCCAAGGGAGTGGTACTATTAGGAGGTATGGCCTTGTTGGAGGAAGTGTGTCACTATGGGGGTGGGATTTGAGGCCTTTTTCTCAAGTTTCACGCAGTGTAATAGTCAGTCAACTTCCTGTTGCCTGCAAGACGTAGCACACTCAGATCTAGTACCATTTCTGCCTGCATGCCACCATGATCCCTGCCATGATGAGAGCAGACTGAAAGTCTGAAACTGTAAGCAAACCACACCAACTAAATGTTTTCTTTATAAGAGTTGTTATAGGGGTCTAGAGAGATGGCTCAGTGGTTAAGAGCACTGAATGTTCCAGAGGTCCTGGGTTCAATTCCCAGCAGTCACATAATGGCTCACAACCATCTATAATGAGATCTGGTGCCCTCTTCTAGCATGCAATATAGGCGTGTACGCAGGCAGACCACAATATATAATAAGCAAATATTAAAAGAAAAAAAAAAAAGACTTGCCATGGTCATAGTGTCTCTTCACAGCAATGACAACCCAAAGACATCCATGACATAAAATTACTTATTATGAATATCTGTGAAACAATTTCAATATGCCTGTTTTTCTTGGGACAGAGATGATGCTCAGCTGTAGGGTGTTTCAGTCTGCATCAGGGCCTGGGCATCAGGACACCCACACGTTCTAACTGAAGTAGAGACTATAGCACACACAGGGATGACACCACTTGTAAGTGTTTAACTGAGCACATACTTGTGTAATACGCATACACATGTGTAACAGGCATACAAATGTGTCATACTGCTCCAAATACACAATCCTTGCCATGTTAATGAGCTGCACTACCACATTTAAAGTTCATGTTACAAGACAGGAGACTCTTGAGAGTTCACATCTATCAGAGTCTCCACGGATACATAAATAAATAGAACAAAAAAGAAAAACACCACCCCAGCACCTCACTGTGTTCACCAACATGACTCTTTGGACCTTGCTGTTTAGGATTTTGTTTTTGAAGATGTATTTATTTTATATGCATGAGTGTTTTGGCTGCATGTGCCTGGTGTTTGGGGTCAGAAGATGGTTTTGATTCCCTGAAACTGAAGTTACAGATGGTTGTAAGTAACCATGTGGGTGCTGGGAACTGAACTCTAGAAGAGCAGGTGACTCTTCACCACTGAGCCATCTCTCTAGCTTACTGTTTAAGGAGGGTGTATTATCTGCGCATGCCCAAGGAATTCACATTCTTTTCTGGTAACTCCCTCACCTTCCTGGAGCTTGAGAGCCTTCGGGGGAGCCCAGAGCCCTCTGATCACACAGCTGGTTCCTCTGGTTGTCAGCCCTGTCCTGACTAAGCAGAGGCTCATTCAGAGTCTCAGGGCTTGGTATTGTGGCTCAGTGGTAATAGCCCTTGCCCCTTTGTTCCATCCAGAAGTCCAATGGTTTTAGGAGCCTTTAGCCAGGAGCTGGGGAAAAGCCCACTGTATGTCTTACACACATATTACATGCTCACAGATGTATGTGTACACGTTATGCACAAAATCTCCTCCTATAACACAACATCACAGAGTCAATCTCCTTATACTGTGGGGTGACGAACTTCATGGAGGGTAAGAGGACTACCAACCGGATTTCCTATCTATGAGCTCACAAAGATCAAAGTGAGTTCAAATTCAGAGACAAGTGGCTGTGCTAACTGTGGTGGCATGAAGGACACAGACTTACCGGCTTTTGGAGGCGTCCAGCGATGTACAGATTATTCCAGTTTAGGAGGTCATCAATTAGGGTGCCAGTGCTAATAACCCCATATTTGATAAGCTGCAAGAGAAGACATGAGGATGACAAAGAGCAAACCACCAGGCTGCTGCTTTCACAGGCATAAGTGAGGGAAGGGCTAAGATCTTGTTCAGGAACAGGATGCTGATCTCCTAAGCAACTTAAAATACCTACCCTTCAAAAACCCACATCTTGCTGGGCTTTGGTGGCACATACCTTTAATCCCAGCACTTGGAGGCAGAGAGGCAAGTGGATCTCTGAGTTTGAGGATAGCTTGGTCTACAGACTGAGTTCCAAGACAGCCAGAGAAACCCTATCTCAAAAACAAACAAACAACCCAAAACCAAAGAAAACAAAACAAACTAAAAAGAAAACCCATTATCTCTACCAAAACTGCCCAGAGATTTAGTGTCAAGATTGACCTGGCTCCTAAGGTACAGGAAGTGAGGTGGCCAGTATTTTTAAGGTATAAGATTGTTAAAGGCAGAACGGCTATAGACACTATTTAATACCAGTCCTCAATGCTAGATGCTTCCAATTTCAGAAACAATGATTTAGGCAATATTCCTCATTTGAGAAATAAGAAACTGAGTGCCAGGGGTCAATGAAAGGGCTCAGTAGGTAAAGTTGCTTGTAACCAATCCTGATGACTTTAGTTTGACCCTAGAACTCATAAGATGGAAAGAGAGAACTGAATCCCACCACTTGTGACTGAATATCTCTGTCTGTCTGTCTGTCTGTCTGTCTGTCTCTCTCTCTCTCTCTCCCTCTCCCTCTCTGTCACACACACACACACACACACACACACACACACACACACACACACTGTAAATCTTAAAAAGAAATTTAGGTTCAGTAACAGCAAATGACATATCACAGTGTCACTGCACCAGTAGATTCAGAGCTTGATCCTGTAGCTGGGCACAGCAATGAATGATCCCTAGGTCCTGTAGCTGGGCACAGAAACGCATGTCTCTTAGATCCTACAGCTGGACACAGAAATGTATGCCCACAGGCCTGCTGGTAGAATGAAAGCTAGATTGTGTGAACTCAGGAGTAGTTTGGGGACAGCATAGACAGCAAAGTGTTCCAAATAACAGAAAACTCTGAGGGCTTAACAATTACATCCTAGAATTGCAGCCTGGTCTTCCCACATTCTTTGCATTACAATATATCAGAAATTCTTCAATTACAAGTTTTCACTGGCCATGGTCCCACAGTGACTTTCAGTGTTATTGACTCCCTTAAATGGTCACAATTACAAATGAATATCTGAAAATGAAAACCCTCTTATCAGTGCTAAGCATGTGGAATTACAGAGGAGGCCATTCCCACAATAATTTGTATAAACCTCCAATGTGAATTTCCTGGCTTGCTTACTCTTATATTGTGTCAACAAGTATCTAATAGCCTTCCCAGGCTGCAAATATTTAAAAAGTAGCTAATGAATTACAATTAAAAAGTACAGGCTTGGTGGCACACTATCATGCACAAACATTTGGTTACCAGAGCTTATAATGTTGTTTGGAAATTACTAATCAAAGACAGGCTTGGCAGAATACTAATTATGAAGAAAGAACCAAACAATGGGCTATCATGACAAAAGGGGAAGAAGAAGACTGCGCTGCTTCAGACAAGTGACAGCTAGGAGGCCCCAGGGTCACTGCAGGCCTGAGAATTCAGGAGCCTGTCACTAGATAGCAGCAGGACCTTATAAAGTCACGTCCCCTCTGTGAACTGAGGTTTCCTTGGCTGTATAGAGCAGGGTACACAAAGGACCAGAAAGCCTGTGCATATCTGGGCATGGTGGCACACACCTTTAATCCCAGCACTGGGGAGGCAGAGGCAGACCTGAGTTCAAGTCCAGTCTGGTCTACAGTATGAGTTCCAGGACAGCCAGAGCTACACAGAGAAACCCTGTCTCAAAAAACAAAACAACAACAATAGCAACAGAATAATAAGAAGAAAAAAAGAAAAGGCATGACCTAAAGATTATGAAGACATCACTGCACAGACACACCGATCACTTCTCTGTCAAGCTCAGACAGGTCCTCAAACCTCATGTCATTACACCAATCTCCTGCCCTCTACAGACTGATCCTTTGACTAACTGTAGGATCATTATCTGGGGACTTGTCAAATATGCAGAATCTCAGGTTCCATCCCAGCCAACTGAATCTGGACCTGCATTTTATCACGGTCCCCAGGACACTCACACACCTGTTAAGGTCAGACTGCCCTAAGCAACTGACATTAGCATCAGCACAAGCAAACCCACAGGTCATCCTTGACTTGACTCATTTTCTACCTCCCACCTCCCCAGCATCCCTCTCAGAAACTAGGATGCTTCATTTAGTTTGACCTCTCTCCATGCTAGGGAACAAACCCAGGACCTAGGCAAGTGCTCTGTCACTAAGCCATATAGCCAGGGCTGAAGTGCTATGTATATATAGGGTTCCTGATATAAGACAATCTATTGGGGGGCTATCTAGACATCTTACCTGCCCCTTAACATGCAACTCCCTACCTGCTGATACCAAGAACATCCCTTCCATCACTCGACACCACAGGCTCCCAGGCACCACACATCCTCTTCACTTCCTGGTAGTACCTGCTCCTCCTTCTAGATGACATCACTCTCTATCCTGCTCCTCGGTGGTCCCATTGCTTCTCCATACTGCCCAGACAGCAGTCCTCAAAATGTGAATGAATTCCTACCCAGGAGCCACTAAGCAGCGTGGCCAACAGATTAATAAGACCTGAGCATGACTTGGTCAAAGGTCAAAAGGTAAAGTCCAGTCACTGGCAGCCATTGTCTTACACCCCAGTCAGCCTGGCAGATCAGGAGTAGTTCTGTCTGTGCCTGGGTTTAAGAAACCCTGACCAGGTGTGACCGTTTCCCGAGAATGTGGACACATCTATTTCACCAGGATTCTACTGCCAAATTACTGCCATCTAGTTAGGGTCAAGGACTGGAGGCACTTACCTTCCCATCACACATGATCAGCGGGTTGAAGTAGACCCCAGCGCCATAGTTATTCTGGACCAAAGAGATGATCCTGGGCCCCAAGAGTTTGAGGAAGGAGTAGTGGCTCCAATTCTTCTTCAGGTTCTTTTCGTGCCAGGCGACAGGGTCATCTACTGTGAACACCAAGTCCAGCATGGGATTCTGGAAAGTGAAGGAACAAGAAGGTGCTGAGCACTAACACTTAAAGCACTAGAGAAATAACAGAAAATTCTAAAGTGCCACAGTACTACAAGTCATGGTCAGAAGACCCAGGGTCATCACCTGAAACCTGCGCAGGTCTCACAAAGCGATGCCATCGTGACTTTCATCCGTCCACACGATTACATCACTCACTCACTCACTCATTCACTCACTCACTCACTGTGTGTTGGGGTGACTTTTCATCCATCCACATGATTACATCACTCACTCACTGTGTGTTGGGGTGACTTTCATCCGTCCACACGATTACATCACTCACTCACTCACTCACTCACTCACTCACTCACTCACTCACTCACTCACTCACTCACTCACTGTGTGTTGCGGTACCAGCACTAGTCTGATTGCTTGACATACAATGAGTCAGTTTATCTCCACAAGGCAAGTGTGTTACTCCAGCTGTATAGGAAAGGAAATGAAGGGCCAGGGAAAGCCCTTTGCCCAAGGGTGTAGAGCCCAAGTGTGGCAGACCCAAGGAGAGGTGACTCAGTGGCTAAACACACTGGCTGCTCCTGCAGAGGACCTGCGTTTCATGTCCAGCACCCACATGGTGGCTCACAACCATCTGTGACTCTAGTTCCTGGAGGACTGATGCCTTCTTCTGACTTCTGTGGACACCAAGGTCTGCATGTGGTCCACATACATTCATGTGGGTAAAATACTAATACACATAAACAAATCTCAAAGAATAATTTAAAAAAATCATTAAGAAAAAAACCAAGCTCTGATAGGTTTCAGGGCAGACATCCTAAGAGCCTACCACTGCAGACAGACAAACTATGCCTAAAGTGATTCTATTTAGGAACATACACTATACCAACTTCACTTAGAACCTTTTAGAACAAGAGAATAGGGAGGAAGGATTTTTCTTGGACGGGACATAGAAGTTCCAGAACGTAAGAGGGGAGCACAGGACAGAGAAGTAACCCAGGAAGCACAGAAACAGGTAGTCAGGGTAGAGGAAACTGCTCCCCCAGGCTTGCTGGCCAGGCGTGTTCCAGGGCCTGCAGTTTGTTGCTAGTGTAACATAGTCACGGTACTAAATGCGACTGGGGTGATTTCCCACACTACAGAATTTTCCAGAGTAACTGAATGGAGGGAAGAGAGGTTACAGAGGAGGAAAATCTGACAGAAAGCAACTGAAAGATTCCACTAAGAAACAAAATAGCATCATTAGCTAAGGCACTGAGTGGGAGAATACACCAGACTTCTTAGCATGAGCATAGAGAATGGAAATGAAGAAACAAGGACCGTTTCTAGGAGAGAATCCTAGATCAGCTCAAAGAAAACCTCATGGAGTACAGGGTAGCTATCAGGAGGCTAAGGAATGCTACAGGTTTCCCAGGGCAGCCTCAAACCATTGACGATATTATTTAAGATTTGGAGGTAACGTGTGTGTGTGTGTGTGTGTGTGTGTGTGTGTGTAGATGCATGAGTCCAGCCATGTAGTATTTGCAGGCCAGAGGATGTTGGGTTTCACTCTCAGTGCCATCCACTTTGTTTTTCTGAGACGGTTTTTCACTGGCCTGGAGTTTGCCAGTAGTCTAGGCTGGGAGCCAGCAAGCCCCAGGGATCCACCTGTCTCTGCCTCCCCAAGGCTGGGATTACAAGCGTGCACCACAATGTCTGGTTGATGGACAATTGTAAAAAGTAGTAATTACAAAATTGTATATGCAGCCAAGTTAGAAAAAATAGGTAGGAGGGGACAGAAGAAATGCAAGCAACACCAGGAAGCGAATTTTAACCGGAAGACAGATCTGGCCAGGTGGTAGGCCCAGGATGCCCTACTGTAATCTGTACACTTAATTCCGCAGATCACAGTAAGAATTGCATTGCTGTTCTCAGTCGACTCTGAAAAGCAGTAAGGCTCAATCTTAACTAGACTCCTGTTAAACGTGCTAAATAAATGCAGTGTCAACTGCCCCGGCCCTACACTCAGTCCATCAGCTTTCTTGAAGCCCAGGAATCATTTTGTGTTTTCTTATCTTTAGAGTCACACTGCCCAAGTCCAAGCTTCATCCTAGGCCAACGAAATCAACCTGTAGACAAAACCAGTCTTTGTATTTCTAAAAAAGCACGGGAACACTCCAATGACAAAGACTGAAAACACTTAAGAAGGATCACCTCTTCCTAACAGCCCCTCCCCCATGTAGTTTGAAGTAAATAGACTACTTATTCTTCATTTATCAGCTCAGGCCAGTGAGATGGCTCAGCAGATAGTGGCATTTGCTGCCAAACTGGATAAACCAAACTCAATCTCCCCAGACCCACGTGGTGCAAGGAGAGCACCAACTCCCTCAAGTCGTTCTCTGACCTTCAAGTGCATGCTGGCTATGGGCGTGCGCCTGTCACAAAACCAGCAAATAAGTAAACATATATACATCATGACAGCACAAGCCTATAATACAAGTACTGTGAGTTCGAGGCCAGCCTGCTCTACATGGTGAATTCTAGTCAGCCCCGACTTGGAAAACCCACTTCAGCTCACACAGAGGTCACTTTGGTAGGATGAAAGTTTTACTAGTTGGGACTTGGCGTGTCCGGGGCTCTGCGGGGACAGAAGGCACACGGGAACCGGAGAGGGCGAGCAGGTGCCAGGTCTAAAGCTGGAGAAAGGCGCTGGCTCGGGACTCACCTCCTGGTGTGCACTGGGTCCCGCCTGGCGGTACACTGCGGAGCCGTAGGCGAAGGCCAGGCTCAGGTCCTCGGGGAAGTGAGCCAGAATCCTGCGCAGGCCCACGCCCGAGCTCTGCAGCGCCTGCACCGCCATTGGCGGGCGAACACGCCGGTAGGGTAAAGGGTGTAGTGCCTACTCCGGACTCGCAACTCTGGGTCGTGAGGACCGCGCTTCCGCCTGGGCCCCGCCCCTCCACGCACGCGCGCTTCAGAGCGGGGGGGCTCGGGCAGCCTGCAGAGAGGTCGGAGCTCTGTCGCGCCCTCTGGCGGGAGGAGGAGCGCATTGCAGGACCAGCCTGGGGCAGCTAACTAACCTGCTGTAGAGCCCTGCAAATCCTATGCAGCATTCAAGCCACGAAAGATTTTTTTAAAAAGATTTGTTTATTATGTATACAGTATTCTGCTTGCATGCATGCCTGCACGCCAGAAGAGAGCACCAGATCTCATTATAGATGACTGCGAATCACCATGTGGTTGCTGGAAATTGAACTCAGGACCTCCGGGAAAGCAGTCAGTGCTTTTAACCTCTGAGCCATCTCTCCAGCTCCCGCCCCGCCCCCCCGCCTTTTTTTTTTTTTTTTTTTTGGTATTTTCCACGAATGACTTTTAAATCATGAATATGTTGTGTGAGGGTTTTTTTTTTTTTTTTTTTTTTTTTTTTTTGAGACAGGGTCTCATGTAACTGGTCTGGAATTTGCTATGTAGACCAGTCAGGCCTCAAACTCACAGCTATCCACCTGCCTCTGTCTCTCAAGAGCTGGGATAAAGGCACGGGCTACCACATTCACAGTCTTGTACAGCTATCATTTCTAGATCTAAGCTGTAGGAGATTTTGAAGATTTAGGAAAAAAAATTAAAACATGCCCCACCCTACCATCACCAGCATATTAGAAACTGGCCATGGTTTCTTCACATTAAAAGTCCCTTTTCACATTAAAAGTACCTTTTAAGTTTGATAATAGATAAAATGCATCATAAATGTAAGACAAACATTCCCTCATATTTTTGTTCAATTTTAGGATCAGAGAAGAGTTCGTGCCCCTTTGGGGATTGTCTCACAAAGGACTCTTTAATTTACATGCCTTTTCTGGAGAAAATGGCATCTGGTAGAAATACCATAGAGTTCTTTACACCATGGGAGAGACTTGCTCAAGCTGGCAGGAGCCTTCAGGACATGGTTGAGCTCCCAGACCCTTTGAGGCTGCGCTTTCTTCTCTAACTTGCGCTGCCTCTCAAAGATCAGCAAGGCCACCTGCAGTCAAGCTGCTCGTGGGGCTAAGGTGTGTGAGTGTGTGTGTGTGTGTGTGTGTGTGTGTGTGTGTGTGTGTGAGAGAGAGAGAGAGAGAGAGAGAGAGAGAGAGAGAGAGAGAGAGAGAGAGAGAGAGCGCTTTGGCCACATAGTGCGTTTTAGGTTGGAATGAGATATTCTAAAGATGCTACTCTAAGGGAAAATGGCAGCAGGCCATTAGGGCTGGGTGGTGTGGCTCAGCATTGGGGAAGCTGTCCAGCATGTCCAAAGCCCTGAGTTCCAGCCCAAGCACAGGAAATGACAACATACCAACCGACGGGGCTGGAAGTGTGGCTCAGTGATTAAGGTCCCAGCACCCACATGGTGACTCACAACCATCTGTAACTCCAGCTCCAGGAGACCTCATATCTGATGTCTCTTTCTGTGCTCTGAGGGCACCAGGCATGCACAAAGTATACATACATACACGCAGGTTATTACTCATACACACACACAAAAAAATAAAAATTTAGAGCAACCACCCCAACTACGGGGTCTGGGAGAGGGTCCAGCTAGAAAAGTGTTTACCTGTGCAAACGCTTAGATGAGAACCATGTAAAGCCAGATGTGGTGGCCAAGTCTGTAACCCCCGACCTCCCATGGGGATATGGGAGTCAGAAACAGGGGAACAGCTTGAGGGGTGACTAGCCTGTGGTACACACTGGGGACACCCAGAGACCCTGTACACACACACACACACACACACACACACACACACACACACACACACACACACACACACGAGCAGTAACATTGTCTCTTTTTTACAGGTTAAGTTGAGGACAGAAAACCTGCTTAAACTCACATAAGGGTGTAGTCTTAGGCCTGGCCTCACGACAAGGTGTCTCTCATCCTGGTCCATCCTTGAGGGGTTTTGAGCCAGTGTGGTCAGATAATCAGTGAGGAGAAGGGGCAGGAAACTGAAGACCGAGCGCTTGCCACAGGGTCACCATGAACTAAATAAACGATGGCCAGGCTCAGCAGGGCTGGGGATAGAGGCAGGAGTAGCTCAGATTCATTCAATTGAAAGGACAGTTACTTGGACTCACAGTCTCCACAGTGCTGTGAGGTTGGTGCTGAGAATGTTTTCAGTAAGCAGATTAGAGCTGCTGGGCAGGAACCCAGGGTCTGTGGTAGGCAGACAGCTAAGCAATGAAACGTGCAGCAATGCAGCAGGCATGCAGTGCTGCGAGGGAACAGCGTATCCTTCCCGGAAGGGGACTTGAAGCAGCTCTGGGGGAACAGAGGGCCAGCAGAGGAGGAAGTGCAGGCTACAAGGCCAGGCCTTGGGATGGCCTTCGAGGTGATTGGCGGAATGGGAAGGCCGCTGGGTAGAACCATGAGTGTGATTTCACCAGCAGCAGCATGGAGAGGGAGTCAGGAGAAAGACAGAGTGAAGACATGAGGCTTCAGGCTCCCTGTGTGGCAGCAGGCATTTTGATTCAGGCTGAAGAACCTCACCCTTGCCCAGATGGCTTGGATCTGAGATGCACTCACTGTGGGAGTGCACAGAACCTTCCACCTAGAGACTGGATGAACATTGTTTCCAGCTGTTCCTCATCTTCTTTCTCCCCTTGAGGAAATAATTCAATATTCCTCCAACCCCTTCATTGGCAAGGGTAATGCATGTTCATAAAAATGTAAATATTACAAACTATGCATCTCATCCCTCCCTTCCCACAGGTAAGCACTGGTAATCTTCAGTACATATTCTTCCTGATATTCTTATGAATATATTAACATTAAAACATTTTAAAATAGAATTGGGTGATGGATATTATTTTTCAATTTGCTTTTTTTCACCACCTCACATATCAAGGGTGTCTTTGTCAGAGTATATAGATTTCCTTCCTTCCACTTATTAGCAGAGAATTATTCTAAAATATGGATATGCCATATTGATGGCCATAGATTACTTCTTTCATTTTTGCAATCCTGGGAGTGCAGCCCAAGGCCTTGCAGGAACCATCCAATAATGTAACACTGAGCCAAACCCCCAACCCCATTTCTAGTTTTCACACATGAAAATGGTGCTACAGTGAACATCTTTTTAGTTATTTCTTTAACAATGTTTTTATGTTTATGTGTGTGGTGGGGGCACATACATGCTATGGTGTGCCTGTAGAGGTCAGAGGACAATTTGGAGGAGTTGGTTCTCTCTTTTCCCAATTGGATTCCAGGACTCGGACTCAGATCATCAAGCTTATTGGCAAGTGCTCCTATCTGCTGGGCCATCTCTCCAGCCCTCTGGGTATTTCTTTTTGTACATGCCAAGTATTATATTGATGTGAAGTTGATTCCCGGGACTGGCAGGATGACTCAGCAGGTAAGGGTGCTTGCTATGAAAGCCAAACAACCTGCGTTCAATTCCTGGAACCCACAGCAGGATGGAGGGAGAGAACCCACTCCACAGAAGGTGCCCCTGACCCTCACACACAAGCTGTCACACACGTACCCCATATGCATAGCACACAGACACAAACTAATAAATAGCCTCTAAAGAGCTTGTTGCCTAGGAGTGGAATCGCTGGGTCTAAGTGTGGGCACATTGCTAAATCCCCCTGCAAAAGACACATGAATTCATACAGCCACCGATAGGGCTCAGTCTCTGATAGAAATAAAGAATCTATAATGCGTCACCGTTTTTCCTCCCTTACAGGCTCTTACATCTAATTATCAGTAATTTTCATTCTCCCAACACACTCCCTCCTGCTAGCACAAAGCCACCAGCTGGAAAGTTCCATCCCACTCCTGTGTGTGTGTCTGCCTCTGCCCAGGCAGAGGCAGCAGCAGAGAACACATTTGTTTTCTTCAGCAGAAATCCCCCTGCTCCCTTTAGCTCATCCGCTCTCTTCAAAATTACCGTGGCTCATTGCGTTAGGAGCTATTAAAAAGCCCTCGTGCTCTATCTAATAGCTCCAAGGTTCTTTTGGAAAGCTTATGCCAACGAGATAAAAATGTTTGAGAGCCATTTCCAAAGATAAATGCCACTTGATTTCAGCGATTGCTGGGCCTTGCTATCTAGCTTGTCTAACAGGTGTCTCTGTGCTCCTCAACAAGGACACTGCCAGAATTTAGGATTTGCCTAGAAGATTCACCCAGGCTGTGTGTTAGTGCTCTGTATAATGTCTGGACCTTATAGGCCTTGGCTTTCTTTTTATCGGTGTTTTAAAAGAACAAGGAAAATAATTGGGGAAAAATTCTGGTCCTGTTATTCCTTCACTTTTGTTCTGTGATGTTGGGGTTGGAACCCAGGGCCTCACAGTCTGCTGCTGAGATGTACCCCAAGATCTAGGGTCCGGGGTGTTTTCAATTGAATGCGTTGTTTAGCCATCTGCTGACAAAAGCAGAGAAGGGTCTTGACCTGTCTTTCTTTTTTCTTTTTAAATAAAGGTGTATACTCTTTTTTTTTTTAATTTCTAAAAATCATGTGTGTGTGTGTCTTCATGTGTAGGAGAAACTATGGCCAACCTATCCAAGCCACAGTCACCCTGAGCCAAGCCTGCCTTTATACCCAGAGACTGCTAAGAGACACCTGACCCAGAGAAACCAATGAGGAAAGAACAACACAGCAGAGTCAGCCTCCTGAATCATCGGGACCTTGGGAGGGGTTGTAAAGGCAGCCTAACTTCCTTAATAAAAGAGTCTGTAGCACGCTCTGCTACTCACCTAGGCCTGGTGCCTGAGTCATTGGTGCTGTTCTTCTCACCCTGCCCCCCAAGGGTAACCTGAAATATTCATGTATATGTATGTAAATATACACGTGCCCTTGGAGGCCAGAAGAGGGCTTTGGATCCCTAGGAACTGGTGTCATAGGCAGTCCTGAGCTGTCTGATGTGGGTGATGGGATCTGAACCTAGGTCTTCTGGAAGAGTAGTGTGTGCTCTTAACCACTGAG